CTGGCTGGAGGCAGCAGCACCTGTGGAGCCAGGCTCTTATTCTCATTTCCATTCCTTCCCTCCACTAATAAAGATATTTGTATTGAACCTACAGATAAAAACAGCTCAGTAATCACCTATGGGTAGCGCTGCATGAGGCGTTAAGCTACACTGTCATAAAGCTGTTTAACTGACTGGTAGAAAGAGAACAGAGCCATGAGACTGCAGCCAGAAATAGTCCCCTAACTAACCAGTGCGTTTTTTCTGAGCAGAGCCAGTAGGGGGGAGATAACAGACATCTCAATCATCTCATAAACACTTAGATTAGCATCTATATTAAGGTAAAAGTATTACTTAATGCTGCTTTAATAAATTCTTTAAATATAACACAGTTGTTGATTGGATTTCTGGTTAACTGGTCATGGTGTCGTACCTCTAAACCGAGCTGGACGACTGATCAGATGGGAAAGATGGAGTCGTCACTTTGCAACCCTCATGAGTCTGGTTTGTTAAAGGACCATCTCTAAACGGCTCTAAGCGTCGCCCTGAAAAACACAAAAACATACAATACCATATTGAAACAGGAAGTGCCATCAGTTCACCGGAACCCATTTTTTGTCTCATGCCTCCATCATCAAAGCTATGGCTGGAGTTCACACATATTCTCAGCGTCCCAGATTAAATCAGCGTCTGCCCTGCAGTCTGTGTTTTTCTTTTTGTTATGCTTACTGTTAAAACTGTACAGTGTGTCCTGAGATGCAGGGTGACATAGTTTCATTTCTGTGGTTGCAAACTGAAAGTGCAGATCATGCCTTTGGCAAACTGTTGCATATCTTTGGATAACCATAGCTTACAGACACACAAACACAAAAACCCAGAAATATGTTTTGAAAACAGAGCACTAAACTGTTTGTCTCTGAGTACAAAACAGTGCAATTTTATGTAAATTGAACAAAAATATAGAAAATAAAAGTTCAATTTTTTCCTGCAGGAAATTGCTTGTACCTTCATTATTTATCAAATATTTCCTTTTTGTTTTTATCAATCACATGCACGTTGAATGATTTTCATTTTTAAACACTACTTTAAATTTCAACTGCAGGTTCTAATCTAATGGTTATTAAAAAGCAACCAAACCAAATTGTTCCTATGAAAGATTAACTGAACCTAATAACTGGTTGCAACCTGATTGCTGGCAACAGCTGCAGGTAGATCTTCTTTATGAACGTGATGAAATGTTTTTATTGACTAAGCTATATCAGAATTATATGGGAATAACAGGCCTATTTCAGGTTATGCCAGGGCATGTTAATAACATCTCTAATAAGTGCTTAGAAATTTCCCAACTTCCAACTTAGAAAGAACTTCTGCTGAAACACATCTAAAAGTCAAAACTAATTTCAGCAGTCAAGATGGTTGACCCATTCATCAAAGGTAGTGAAACTTTCCTACTTTCAGTGTTTGTGTTCATTCTTTATGTGTTAAGGTAATTCAGATGTTCATATACTGTTTATATGTTACAATGTTGGATGTCACAAATTCTTA